AAAAAAAACTAAGGAAACGCAATAAATTAAAATCGCGTGTGCATTTCTGCGATCCGGCTCGAATCCGGCTCTAATGCTATAGAAATACTTCAAACTAACGAGTGGGACGCTTAGGCCGTTTTTATTTTGATGTTTTGTGGGAATGCGCGGCCTGCGAGGGCTGTTGCAGAAGCAGCACAGTTGCTCTTGAGTTCTAGCCCTCGTCATCATCTTCAGTTCTTATTTTGCAGAACCTAAAATGTTATCCGCATAAAGAAATTGCGTTGTACTTGTATTCCAAAGCGCAATTACAGGACTTGGCAAAAAGCCAAGAGAGCTGCACGCGACCGCGCCGCGCGGACGGTGTTAGTAAAAACGTGAGTTTGCAAAAACGGGCGGCGTAGCAAGGAATTACGACTTTCCCACGGTCCCGTACTCTGACCCCGTGCAGTTTTGGGCGGGGGGACCACGACACATCGACAGCTGGGGGGCTGATAGTCTCATACACCCTCAATGTGTTGAGCGTACCATGTGTCTTTAAGCGAACAGCTCCGACAAAGAGTTGTTGAGGGGGAACTAATTTTTCTGTGCAAAAGGGTTTCCCGAGCTAACCCTCATGACTCAACCTTACTATTACTCCGAAACTACGCTTCAAATTGGATGCCAAACATGAACTCAAGAAACACCCCCTACCGTCTCCTAGCGAAAACACAATCCTCAAGAAAAATGAAATATCAAAGTTCCAATATTTCCGAAATAAAAAATGGAAGGACGACTTCTCAACTCGAGTAACGCTATTAAATTACGCAGCAAGAAGATAATAGTAATTGTTGAGGTGAGGTGACTGGTGGGCGAAGGCACGCAAAACAGCCTAGCAAACACGACAAAAATGAATAACAATCGAAGGATCGCGAAAGTGGCAACTTCGCGGCTATTTTGAGCGTTTGCGCGTAGGGTTGCATGTATGGTGTGCACAAAACAACTATTTGACGGCGCAAGTACTTTACTTTATCTAAATGCGTTCTATTAAGTGTTGTAATGCAAATATGCTTGTTTCACTGTATTTAATATCTGACGAAGCTGTTAAAACAGCGAAAGCTTACCAGTGAAAGTTATTATACGAGTCCTCAACATACAAGAAATCATTCAACGAAAGGCTCAGGGCTCTTCAACGGCTACCCTCTGCTGACCTTAATCCGCTTTTTTCCGGTGTCTGGAGTGCTCTGAAACTATTTTACAGATTTTTCGTCTGACTCCGCCCACCTCAGAGCAGACCCCGCCCACAATTTTTGTGCCCCACAATCTTCACCGACGACCCTCTGCTGACCTTAATCCACTTTTTTCCGGTGTCTGGAGTGTTCTGGAACCGAGCTACAAACTTTTAAAATGAATACCCTGCGATTTAGGGCAAGCTCCGCCCACTGTGGGCTGGTCTCAACTAGGGCAAGCTCCGCCCACTGTGGGCGGGTCTCAACACACTTTGAGCGTGCCCTATATTCGCCAGATATTTACATTCTACACTGAGTTTTTTGCGACTTCCAAACACTCGCGAACCGGGTTACTGAATTTTGCGAGAAGCACCGCCCACCTTGAGTACGCCCCGCCCATTTTGGATGTGTCTGCCACAGTTAGTCTGGCGACTCCTTACTAACCTTATTTGCTTTTTTCGTGGAGCCACCCATGGATAGCTACCTGGAGACCAGTACTCTCGATCTGGATGACTCCAACATCGAGCAGCTCCGACAACGTCGCCACGGTCTAGGACATCATCTTCACCACAGTCGCCAAGGCGCGGATTGATGGTATGGACCGGACATTGGGCAACTCGTGAAGAATATCCTCCTCACATGTGGTCGCCCGTACCTTCTTGGAAACTTTGTACTGCTACAGCATTGAGTGCCACCACATGAAATCGAAGGGCGTTGGAGAAACTACTATGGAATGGAAGGGGCTGGAAACCTAAAAAGATGGAATAGGTCTAACTAGGGATGGGCGGTCAGGTCGAGTGGCCGGTTGGGTAATGAGACTTGGAGGACCGACTAGGACGTATTGTCAGCGAGCGGTTGATTTGCAAATCTGAGCTGTGGCAAAGTTTGAAAAGCGATTCTGTGAAGGGAGGTTATGACGAGGTCGTTGGCTGAAGCGGGCGGAGTGCGGCGGGCAGTGTCCAGCGCAGGCGTGGCAGGATGGAGGGTAGACGCGGATGTCGAGGCGCTCATGCGCAGCGGAGCGGGGTGCGGCGGAGCAAGGGGGGGGGTAAGGAGTTAGGTTCATGGGGGCCCGCACTGAAGGTATCGGATGCCCGAGAGTGATGGTTAGTTTTGCATTCCGTGGAGACGTCGCTACCGACTATGATAAGCATTCAAGCGTGATTGAACATGTTTTCAAGGTGGGAGCTGGGTTGAAGTGTGGATCTACGGTGGCTGGTGATGGAAGGGTGAGATCAAGAGTTGTTCGGAGGTGAAGTGTCTAGAGGCTGGGCGAAGGAGGAGGGTGGCAACGTGGAACTATACAGTAGGGTGAGATAGGCAGGGTGGACGTGGTCGCAGCGTAGTAAGGAAAGTTGAAGGGATGAGGGTGGAAGGAGTCGAGTGTTTTGGGTTGAGCAGGTAGTATTATTATCGTGTATGAATTGACGAAATGTATTCCTAATGATAAGATGTATATCACACTGATCGCCCAGCCCAGTTGAAAAATGTGGTCACATCAACGCTTGAAGTGCTTATCATAGTCGTAGGACGTCCTCCACGGAATGCAAACTTTAACCACACATTCTGGGATATGAACTTATATCGTTGTGACATGGTATACCTAGATCTATACTCTGATGCACCTGCCGCTCGTGAGAGGCGCTGCACTCGTGTTATCTTCATGCCCGCTGGCTGCAATTGCGGCGAGCCCGACTCGTCTCAGCAAATCGTTACCTGTCATATCCTTCTGTTCACAGAATGCGCTTTTATGCAATATTTTTGTGAATGGCAGATTTTGAAATCAGCGTTGAAAATACGTCTAGTGGTCATAGCCATCATTACAGAACGGGCTACGTTACGACTGTAGAACCATCCTAGTAAGTAAGGTTCACCTGGTCTGATTCCTCAATTACCGTTCGGGAGGAGTTCATTGGGTGGGTGTTATGTGGCGGATGAAATCGATTGGCTCGCTGTAATTTGGCAGTCTATCTATGTGTGGTTCGGCGTGCCATGTTATTCTGTCGATGTGGCTGTCAGAGGCTTAGTGGTTCTGGTGTGATAGCTACTTGAGATATGCTTCTTTATATGTACTTACTTGCCTATTTTTTCATGGTAGCGGGCCTTTACTCTGTTTGGTGGTGGGCTGATGTGAGGTGCTTATGCAGCAAATAACATAATGATATAACTATTAATCGGTCAGTTTATCAAAAACAATTGAATCCTATAGGGATTGGTCGTCGATCTGTATAATTGGGAGTTTTGTAGAGATGGAGGACTATGTAGAATGTTGTATGTCTGACCTCATATTTGCTCCAAATCTGCATTACTTGGTTTTCTGTAAAAGGAGTATGAATTGGATTTGGCTGAGGAGACACGGGGTCGAGGGCGGTTGCCATACAGTAGGCACTAGTAACCGGGAAGCACTTACCGATTCAACGGCGGCATGGCACAGTGGTAAGAGTCTAGCTTCACAGGCACAAGGTGAACGGTTCGGATCCCAAGAGATGGATTCGTTTCGCATTTTGTGGAGGATGTCTTCCGAGTGTGGGAAACAGTTCAAGAGTTGATATGACTACATTTTTTTAGCACAATAGGACCATTGTGATCTCTATATCATGAGAATAGACCAAGTTGTTCTGGATCAGTGTCAAGTATAGGGGCTGTGACATGCCGAAAATGACGTGCAAGCGTTTAAACTGACCGTTAGGGTGAAAGCAGTACTTGTTTTGCAACTAAAAGGATTCTGTTCTGTCCAAAATCTGGCGGTCCCACATTTATTGAAGGACTTCGGTTCTTGTGATCTCGAGCGTGCCCCATCCAGGAAAGAGCAGAAGGTCATAAACAGTTTTGCGTATATACTACGGGAAGCGATGTACGACAATCTGATCATCGAGTGCGAGGAAGACAGAGTGATAGAGGACGAGGAAGGCGACCCACTGGTGGATGTTGACGATGGGGAGCTAACACCGAGCACGGAGGGATCATTCTTGTTTGGTAACGTGGAGGTGCCCAGAGAACAGGTATGAGTTCAGTGTTTTCCAGGCATAGTCAACTACAAGTTATGTCACTGTAATGTAGGTGGAGAAAGCGATCGTCTTTTATCGAGCCAGCGCCAAAGGAAACCGCTCCTTGTCAAGTATGAATGCCCGCTTCCGTTTCATTCGCACCGACTAGGGGAGGAGAGTTATCGATTGTCTTTTTAGATTAGATTTTGAACTTTTCATTATGAAAGTGCCCTGCGATCATATGGCGCGTTTCTACATTTATTTGATTAGAAGACAGCGGTTAGTCACCATGAGAGCATCATAAATGCCTAAGACAGTAGTATCGCCCTGCTTATGCCTTACTTTGCTCCTTTCTTTCACGAGTTAAGAAGTGAGGCTCTAAAGCAGTTGCATGAGCCCGGCGAAGCCGGGCTTCCAAGAAGGAGGAGAGCTCGGCGTTAGCCGGGCGATCCGACTGGTTAAAAAATGGTACTCTAGGTCTCATTACAAGAGGCCACTTCGACCTGACGGCCATCCCTAGTCAGTGAAATTCTTAATAAAACCGTTTGCTGCCGATTTGGATGATCCAGCTTAATCCTTTTTTTTCATATGGGTTTCAACCGAAATATTTCTATGCGGGTTCCACATGGTTGTTTTCAACAAAATATATCTACATTTCAGAGCACATTATGAACTTGGGATCCTCATAGCATGATTGGGAATCTGTATATATGATACCTGGTCATTTTCAAGTGCAGTTCAGTTCTTCTTTATTCCAGGTCATCCTTGTGAAGAAAATGGCGCAAAGGAAGAAGTCCCAACGAAACGCGGAAGAAAGTGCACCCGTATGTCTTTTGGTTACTATTTAGGTTCCTATCGGTTACCCGCGCAGGGCAAATCGTTGTTGCGGATTCCCCAACAGGGATGAGTGGTCGTACTTGGTCGCCGGGAGAGGGGAAGTCGTATTTGGGCTGAGAAAATTTTTTTGATAATTCATTTTCTTATTTCAAGGACGTTGTAAAGGGGGTGTCCTAGTTCCTCGTTGTTTGAAGGGATGTCGTATTTGCCTTCTGACCTTTTGAGAGAGATTTCCGACTTTTCGTGGTTTTCCCTATCTCATCTGTACTATATTCCGCCCCCCCCCTTCCTGCCGCGAAAATAAATTTTGGATAGAAGTAGGGAAATTTTTGAAATCGCGGAAAAAGGGTAGGAAGGGGACAAATCTGAGAAATGGTAGAGAGGTGTCGTATAACATTTTCCTCGTACTTTTACCCGTTTTACATCTATCGTTTTATCCTATGTGCTCTATAGTCCCATCCCATCCCCCCCCCCTCGACAAGCTCGATGAGGAGGAAACTAGGGGGGGGGGGAGGGTCGTATCAATCCCCTGAAAGAGGGGGCCTCACGGACCAAAATTCCCACCTAATGATCTGTCCTGTAACCGTGACCCGTTGCCAGATGGCTGCACAGCCGAATATTACGGCGGAGATTTTCGCTTCGAAATAGTACAAGGATCCTGTGCAAAAAGGTCTCCGCTATCATTGCAAGCATAATGCAGATCTACAGTTATCATTTTATGGTGTTTTAATGTTGGAATTTCAGGTTCAGTGGTAAAGAAGGTCAAATCCCAGAAAGAGAACATGGTTCTTGTAGAAGTGAAGAATGAACCGGATCATGGCGACACCCATTTGATCTCATCTAGTAGGTTGTTTTTCAAGTAAAATAAACCACTGGATATTAATCTGCAAAATGTTACGCAATAAAATGAGTTTCCAGTATGTTTTTTTCAAACATTTTGAATTTTCTTAGCTTTTTGCATGGAAATTTCGATGTGTAATTTTCCCTGTTCGAAAAAAGAAACAAAGCGGTGACTCTACTTTTCAAAAAACCTCACTGTTTACATTGAAGGCATACACTATCCTTTAAAATCTTCATTCTGTTTTTCAAACAAGATTGGAAACATGAGGCTCATGGAGCCAATAATATTTTTATTTCATTTTTTTTTGTTAAACATCACCACCTCAGAGGCAGTACATTAGACTTTGAGTCTGCAAATTATTCAGATGTATTTACAGGGTGGGCAGCCGCTGCGATTGCGAGCTTCTTTGATCCCCCCGGTATACTTCATGTATTCGGATTTTTGTGTATGATTCTACTTTTTGAGTGGTGCGCGTCTAAATAGCGCAGTGCTGAAGCAGTTTCAAGAAATACTGGGGTTCTCACTCATCACTGAGTTTCACAACAATCAACGATCGGTACCAAATAACTATCAAATTCGACTATCGAAGATGGTAGGTGGAAGCTCCGTCAACTAGGCGAGGGGAAAGGTACATTCGACCCCTCTCAAAGTGACACGCAAATACGATCGCCCCCTTCCTCCTCCCCTCCACCTCCTCAATGGGAGGTTCCTAACATAGTGTAGAGAAAGAATCGACTGGTGGAAGAACTTTCCTTAGGCGAGCTGCAAACCCTCCTCCCTCCGTCGACCGAATGACCCCCGCTAGGGATTCCCCAACAAACGACGTGTCCTGTCGTACTGGGCGCTCTCATTGAACTTGGGTTTGCTTGCATGAATTGAGATGTGGTCCATGGATGTTCCGAGAAAATGAATTTTAGGTAAAGCAAGAAGCTTCAAGCCTGCTTCATCTTCATCGATGCATTCCCTGCTCTCCCTACAGTGCTCGTCTATAAGCGCAAGAGCCCAAGACCGTTCTGCTCTCGGGAGGAGCTTTGATAAGTCACGCTTGTATGCGTGCTGTGGTGGATGATTCCATCAAATGATCCAGGGCTCGCGTCGAAGGCCAACCTTTCCCTGTTTTTGGTCAGTGTTTGAGATTTTTGTCCCTCAGGTTCGAAGCTGTTTTGCGAGTTGCTGCGATTTGCGTCAACCTCGTATATTCACTTTTTCGTGGAGTGCAAGGTACTTGTCTGAAGTCTCATGCCAAGAGATAGTAATGCTAGTGCAAAAGAGTCGTATCTACGAACACCCTGCATAAATACATGCTTGGGCCGAGGCAACACACTGGCCAGACTGGGCGTCCTATTTGCCTATCTTTCAGGTCGTCTGTTCGAAGATTCATGTTGAGCAGGACTACACGGGGGTGGGGGGCAAAGAAAAGTCACTTCTCCCGGAGCACATATCTGTAAAGAGTATGCATTCGAGAAAGGAGATGTGGATACGAGTACCAGGAAGATACCCAGGATGAGCAGGAACCCAGGGAGCTCAATAAGCAGGAGCAGGTTCTCGTCCATCACCTTCATGTACACCAAAATATGAAGCCATCTGCAATCGCAGCCGAGCTGAAGAAGGCCTATGGAATTCACGTCACCTCCAAACAGCGGCAAGACTTCTTGTATCGAGTCACCCATGGCAAGCGTAGACCCCGGGCTGAAAGTGAACTGTTACATTAAACAGGGAAAACATCCTGCCTTCATGTCATCGTGGGAACTTTGTACTGCTACAGGGTTGGGTGCCAGTATGGCATTCGAAAAACTCTTGAATACTTGGAATCGACGGACGTTGAGTACCTCAAGAAGGAGGAATATTCAAGTGTGTCACCTGACCTGAACCCCTCGATTACCGGGTTCGGGCGGAGCTCAACAGGGTGGTCTACAGTGGCGGAGAAATCAACGACCTCGCTGAACTCAGGCACCGAATCACGGTCGCGTGGCAGAATCTCTCGATGGCGTTCGTCCAGAAGGCTGTGGCGGAGTTTCGTGATCGTGTACAATGTGTTGTTGAATATGATGGTGGAAATGTCCAATCAGAATTCAGTAGAGCGTAACTTACTCCGCCTTGAAAGGAGGAAAAATTTTTTTGTTGGTCCCCGTGTATATAACGCTTAGCTCTGGGTGATTGGTCGGAATAGCCCTGTGCAGTGATACTATTACAAAGATAGCAGATATTGCTGTATGAGCTTCAGAATTACAGTGTCATTGAAGAATAGATTAGCTGAAGGTTTTGCAGCGAAGTCGGTGAAATCCGAGGTTGTGTATGAAGAAGAACAAATGAAGGTGGAGCTTAATCAAGAAGAAGGAGAAGAAGAAGTGAGACCCGGTCAGTTACAAAAATTCGCTAAGGGCTTGAATTGCGAGATCTTACTTCACTGTTCTTTTCTCTTTTTTTCTCATGTGTGCTCCAGGAGTCTTTCACGAAATGGTTTGATGAGATGTTCAAACTAGTTTTTTTTCTCCTTAGTGGTTGTTTTTTTCCTGCGTATCTCTCTCGGATCCAATCCAGACTTTTTAGTTTTTATATCTTTTCCTTATCCTGGAGTAAACTTTAAATTTTGAAGAACGCAAAACGCGATCGAAACCACCGGCAAATGGTGAAAACGATATTCAACGTCACTCTCGACTTACTATTGGTGCCAAGGTTGGTTAATATTATATCCCGTCCGGGGGGCCCCGTTTTTGGTTCAAATTTGGTTTTTTTTATACATGGCTCTAAGCAACTCGTCTGATATCTAGGTTCTCGAAGCCGGCTCAAATAGCAAGAAATGCTTGGGTTCTCATGTTAGCGCTGCAGGTTAGTTGTTTCCCAAAACTTAATAACTTTTGCGATATTTATGCGTAGATGGAAAAGGGATAGTAGTTAGCAAAGTACATCGGGAATGTTCAGGAGTGTGCGGCCTTGAAGTAGTGTAGTGCCAAGGTTTGCCGTGGTACTGCAGTCGCATTTTATACCGAGTCTTGCGCGTACAAGAAAATCTTCGGAGTCAGCCATTTGGCAATAGACTTGACTGAGCAGATAAGAATACTAACTTGCACATTGACCCCTGCAGGCCGAATCAAACTGACGCAAACTTTAACGACAATCTGAACATTCACCTCCGTGGATCCTCGTTATTGCCATGTGGGTCCGCAGGTGCAGTCAAACGCCGCCTTCACCGGTCAAAAGTGCACGGGAACGGGACTGGACGGTAGTGATACTTGGGCACATACTCCGCTCGCGCTGCCGCATGGCCAGCTGCTTGCACGTGCTGTTTGGTGCCCTGCCTTGTCTCCAGTCGGAACTCGAACTTACACCTCATGCTATTCGAGCGAGTGTGCTACCCGTTACGCTACCAGAGTCGTCAAATCGAAAGGATAAAAGCGGTCCTGGTGGCGTAATGGATAGCGATAGCTTATGACACTGGCCCGAAAAGCGTGAGATGTGGGTTCGAGTCCTGTCTGGGGTCAGGACTTTTATCCGTAACTCAGCATTCTTGTGATAGTGTGGTATGAATTCTCCAGTGGGAGGCAACGAAGTATTCTAATTGTTTCGCCCTGAGCTTATCACTTGAGGAGATAGTTCAATAATGGACCTAATAGTAAATCATGGTAAACTACAAATGGGCCCCTCACTATATGTGTATTAATGAGTAAAGGAAATGAATGCCCCTGAGCCCCTTAGGATAACTGGTTCAGGCTTCTGCATTGTCGAGCATCTTTTGTATGAAGTAGTAACACATTGAATGCCATAATACAATTTTTCTTAGCTTATACAAGCTTCAACGTTACTGTGGTGACAAACTATCGTTTTTTTCCTTTTCAGAAAACGGTACTTTTGAATCCCTTTTCTCAGTTCCAATTTGCAATCTCTGCTTTAAAAATTGACATCTATAGTTCAAATCACATCCGATATCATATATGGCAACCTTGCTTAATCTTTACTTATTCTGATGTTATCGTGGCCGGGAAGCATCTGTTTGGGCCACTCAAATTACGAGCCACCGTCCTCGTCACTCAAAACTGACCCCGGTGAATCGAGGTGTGAGTGGAACATCGCCATCTCTGACATCAACTACTGCACTAAACCATAGTATTGTATGATATCTGGCGTGCTTCAATTTAACTATGATTTACTTCTAAATTTTTCTCTTTGCAGGGTAATTAAATAATAAATGAAATATTTAATAATTACTTAGGTATGGCATCCAGTGTATTCCAAGTTTCACCTCAGTGCAAAATCAAAATCAATCCATGGTATCATGACTTGCCTTCCTTCAATTGTGACATTGTTATTACCAATAAATGATGATGGTGATGATGATAAAGGGGATTAGCGCCCTGTCTCCAGGACTCGTGTTTGTTATCGGATGTCAGGTTCATGATTGCGTTAATGCGCTGAGCCCATCTGTAGTTTCCGCCATGGTTCATTTATTCTACTACTCCGCTGACATTTTGTGTCCGTTCTGTGCCATTTGAGCTCATTTGTGTTGTGTTCTCTTGAGTTGTGTTACGTTTCTGTGGTGTTTTTTTGTATGCTTTTTCTTTCTTTTCGCTCTTCTTTTAGTTAGGTATCAAGGAATTAGCGCACCTAGAAGTGCATATAATAACTAAATAAAAATAAATAGTGTGGTCCCCTTTCGTGACATACGGACTGTCCTCGAATACATAGCGTCCACTTGAGTCTGCGAAGGGATAGACATCTTGCTACTGGCGTTCAACGAAGGCGCTTGGTGGACGAAAAACACTTCGATAACATTTCAACGTTCATTTTTTGTCAAGGCGTTCTTTCCGGATGTTGGATTCCTAGAGTTGGGTTCATGGTCCAGAAGGGAGAGCAGAGTGTGTCTCTTGATTTCCTTTTCTTTTACTACTAACGGTCATTTCTATTGTCTTTCTGTCAGTGTATTTTTGGAAGAACATTCGCTTTCCACCGATGGTGATGATACATCGGAGAGTCAGGATAAGGAGACCTGTTCAGATAACTCGATATAGGAAATTTGGTTACATCTGAACGACAAGGTATTACAATTATAGGAAACCACAACTGTGCCATTTTCGTGGTGAGGGCTCTAAGCAGATAGTGGACGGCAGATGATCCTATGAATAGACTCTTCAGTAGCCGTGTGATTCGCGCGGTATCGTGTTACAGGCAAACTGATAGACCAAGAAGGTGTGAGCCTAGGCAACATTTGTCCTACAACTTCTGAGTGTCACTAGAGTTTCCCATCTTTTTTTTACCCGCAGATGCTAGAAAATTACTCACAAAGGGTAGGTGGAGATGAGCGAAATTCGTGAGCGTAAAGATTTTTTTCCTTGTCCTTATGGCAGGCTGAATCTTTGATTAGGCTCTTTCGATTTCTGCACAGATGAGTTTTTTACTTGGAAACCATCATCAAAAATTTGCAGTGGAAGCGTGCGACAATTGAATAATGTGAGATCGCTTAGGCGGATTGGAACAGGCGATCTATAACGCCTGTGCTGACGGTAATCGCTGTTTGGCATTGTTCGTCCGCAATCAACGTCAATGGAATGCGAAGCCAATGGATGATGCCACAGTCGAGCGCTGGAATCGTGCTCTTAAGGTAACTCTAGCGAAGGCTGTCGATAACAATTTCTAACAGAGTATTCGCTTGAGCGATTCCGCGTGCATAGGAACACACTCTCTTGGACGCCTCGCATGAGGGATGTAGCGGCAGCGGTGTGATTTGCTGCGCCTCCTTGCCCAGGGAAGCTGCAGATCCCTGTAGTTCCCCTCTACATCGCGAGTCGCGACTGTAGCTGAAGTACTGTCTTTATTGTTCTTACCTTCGATGTGTGTAGTAGACGCGATAAGTACCCACTTGAAGGCGCGCGCTGCCATCGCCGTTTAGCCACACCTAAGAGCGCTCTCACTGGGCGATGGTCTTGAACGTGCCCTATCGCTAGTTAGCACTGAATGTGTGCCTTTAAAAAGCAAGTATTCATCAGTGAGTACTCTGCTGCTTGACTCGTGGATTCTGCTCTGGAATTCTGAGTAGAAAGAAACAACTGGGAAAGAGCTGTTTCCTTGTGAGTGCTTTCCAAACCGCCCTCGAAATACTGTCAGTCAGCATTCAAACGGTGCAAAACTGAAGCTGGGTTTTGGATAGTCTGATTGCCTCGTTTCCCGCGCGGGAAAAATGAATTCATGGGAAATTTTCATGGCTACTCGCTGGCAGAGGGTGCATACCAGAGGACGCTTGCGGTTTGCATAGATGAAGTTGCCTGAGGAGCCTGAAATTGATGAATTCTCCGCTTGAGGTGTATCTATGCTTATTTGCCAGCGGTTGTAAAGGAATGCGGCTGGAACTCTTAGGAGGTCTCTACCTTACCCACCTTGCGTTTCGGTGTGGGAATGGGATCTCGGGCCCCAAGTATCCCATCAAGGGTGACAGCATTACAGCCCCCCCCCTCCCCTTTTTTTTACCATTTCTGGGAAGTATTCAATAGGAAGCAGTTTATAATCACTCTGCTGAATGAATACAGGCATCATAACCCTCACGTCGGGTGTGAGCAAATGAACAACCAAAATATGTTGATAAATAAATAAAAAATGCCACTACACAGAATCATGCCTCTTTGAGCACCGTGACTATCAAAATGCTGAGTTTCGCAGGAGACCGGCTTCCCACTTTCTCAAATGCTCCCGCATGGGTCTTACCTGATGAATCCTGGCTCTCCTGATCCAGAGAAGTTAGAAAAAACCAGAACGGCCATGCTGGATGAGTGCAAGCGTTGTGAACGGTTAGGGATCGGAATGTATAATTTTCATCCAGGTAAATGAAACTTTTTGTTCTTATCGAGCTTCATAGGCGAGCATTCAGTGCTGCGTGCGTATCGCTATTTCGGGCGCTGGGCTGCTTTCGGGCTTTGAATGCTTTATTGTTTAGGCTCTACCACAGGCATTGGTACAGTGGAGCAATGTCTCAAAACAGTTGCTGAAACCATCGACTACATTGTCGATAATACTGACTTCATCGTAATGGGTGAGATTTGGCTGGCGATTTTGTAGTTAAAAATGGATTGTTAATTTTGTTTGGATTTTATTGCTTTTTTTGCAGTAATAGAGACTATGGCTGCCCAAGGTCATACTGTCGGATCGACATTTGAAGAGATTCGCGACATTATATCGATGGTAGGTGATTTGACTAGCATAACTGCTATCAAATTGACATAGTGGGGTTATGAGGGCTGGAATAAAGGTGCATTTTTTCTGCTAAGGTTTTTATATCACACTAAACCTATACAGGG